GGCACTTGCTGCACTCACAGGTCCTGCAAGCAAAGAGCTTTTCAAGACACAGAACCCCTCGATTTTTGATGTGATCCATTTTTCCACATTCATGGAAYGATGGAATCCCAGAATGGTTTRGGTTGGAAGGGACCTTAAAGCTCAACTGATGGACAGGGACACCTTCCACCAYCCCAGGKTRCYCCAAACYTGTCCAGCCTGGCCTTGRGCACTKCCAGGGATCCAGGGGCAGCCACAGCTTCTCTGGGAAATCCTGTGCCCAAACCAGTCTGGGATTTTATAATTCTACTCGACATGTGCTGAGACCAAAAAATAAGATTGAACTGAGTTTTTTTTTTACCCCCAGGTCTGTCATCTTGTATGCATGTAAATCCTGAAGAAAGACTCACTTCAGTAGGATATTTTATGAATGTCTGGGAGTGGTAGAACAGAGGAATAGTCTATGGATGCTGAATAACACTGCATCATTTACTGGATTCCACCACAGCCAGGAATCCGGGAAAAAGACTGTAAAAGAGCTTTGAAAAAAAAAAAATAAAAAAAGTCCTGCTGAAAATAAACGCTTTTGTGGTTAAAAACCAGCCAGTTGGAACTGAAACAGTGTTTTCTTAGGGTGGCAGAACAGTTGGAAAAGTTGTTGGATTATTTTTGGCAGTGGCCAACGCATTATAGCTCTATCATTACTGGTACTCAACTCTCCAGAGTTCACTGAAAGGGTTATTACTTCACTGGTACATTCCTGCAAAAATACAGCATACTCCGTGTGTAGCATGAAGTTTTGGATCCTGGAACTCTGAGTGACCTTCCTGACACGCTGAGTTCAACCAGCTCAGCCCCAAAACACTGCAACGCCCAGGGGGAGCCTGAGCCGCGGCCCCAGACAAAGGCAGGGTGGCCAAACCGCTGCACAAGTGTTGCACAACCAGCACGTAACAGGGTGACTCCTGTGCCCTGCTCTGATGAAAACAGGCTGGGAAGGTTKCACTTGGAGGTTTTAGACATCAAGTGACTCGTACTTGGGTGTTGGGGAGAGCCAAACCCAGTGGCTGCCGTCGCTGGCAGCCAGCACTGCCGAGGACAGACACTCTGCAGGTGGAGAGTGAGCCCAGTTCATGCTTTGGCATCAGCAGCGTGTTCTCCTTAGCAAATGCACCTCAGCCTGAATGCAGCAGGATTTTTGCAGTGCTGGAGTACCTTATGCAACCCCTTTTTACCTTATACAACCCCTATTTCCCTTATGCAACCCCCATTTTCCTTATACAACCCAAATTTTCCTCATACAACCCCGATTTTCCATATACAAACCTTATTTACCTTATACAACCCCCATTTTCCTTATACAGCCCCTATTTTCCTTATACAACCCCCATTTCCCTTACACAATCCCAATTTTCCATTTAAACCCCCATTTCCCTTACACAATCCCAATTTTCCATTTAAACCCCCATTTTCCTTATACAACTCCAGTTTTCCTTATACAACTCCCATTTTCCTTACACATCCCAAATTTTCCTTATCCAACCCCCTTTTCCTTATCCAACCCCCATTTTCCTTAAGAAACAGAACAGCTAAACCATTGAATACTAACATTCATGAAATACTATTTCTATACCTTTCATTGTCATGAATTTACAAGCAGAAATAAGTTTTGCTGAAAGCTGCACATCTATCAGTGTGCTGGATTTAACTGGTGAATAAAATATGGTTTTCTTTTAACTGGGGCCTATAGGACCATTCACAGTGTAGCAATTCAGACTGGAGTCATTGCTGGCCTGACAGTAGCAAAACAACAAACATCTAAGTGTGTGCTTTTACATGCCTGCAATTTTGGTACCTTCAACTCTTCTCAAATATCAGCCACAATCAGATAATTGTCTGCCAATAAGGGACAATCTGCGATTCTCCTCCTGAATTTAATTGTAACCAGATTTGCTTCCCAGAGCAGATGTTGGGGCTGTGAGCCCTGGCTTGTCCCTGGCTGCTGTGCAGTGCCCCTGGGTGTGATGTCTCAAAGGGTGGGAAGCAGCGGGGTGATAAGCATAGGATGGGGAAGATGCTGAGGAAAGGCAGCTTTGTGTCACAAACTGCTCTGCAAAGTCTGGAATTTTGGACAAGCTCGACGCTGTGACAATGAAAAGGGTTAGGCTCAGAGAGCCAAGGGGTTTGYTGTCTCTGTACTCCTGCTGCCAAGGGGGGAATGGCACAGAAATGTTTGMTGGCTGATTACTGACCCCAAGCCTTCTGCTCCTAGTGACCCACGGCACAGGCAGCTGGCAGGCTCAGCACGGCCCCATGGCCAGGGGCAGCCCAGCCCGCCTCAGCTCTGGATGAAGTAAGGACCTGGCTGGGGGAGCAGCTCTTTGTGCAGTCCGCTCTGAGGTAAGAACAGCACTCCTGCCTGAGCTCCCCTGGGGCCAGGCTCACACGGCAGCTCCACCAGAGGAAGGGTTTAAATGACATTTGAACAGCACAGAATTGGGGTTTGGTTCAGGTGCTGTAATTTTGGTGTTAACTTTCATGGCCAGTGCTCCCATCAGACACCCACGGACCACCAGCACTGGAACTGGCAGCTGCACATCCCCTGCAGTTCTGGCAAACCCTCTGAACATCTCCAGAAAGMACCATGAAAGGGTTAAATCACTAATTATATGACAAGGTTTAGATAGAGAATCATGGAATCCCAAAATTATTTGGGTTGGAAGGATCCTTAAAGGATCATCTTCTTCCAAACCCCTKCCATGRGTAGGGCCACCCCAAACTCTCCAAAATAGCTGTAAAATACCTCTGTGTGCCAGCAGAAGAGYTCACAAACCTCACAGCCCTGTTCTCTCAATGTTAACTTCTCTTGCCTGTGCTGTCACCAAGTCTTGTTCACTTYTTTAATGGCTCAGTTTCTGTTCTCCTAATTGAGGACTGACTCAATAATTGATAAAAAGGTTCCATTTTGAATCTTCAGCAAAGCTACCACATATCCCAGATATATCCTGTCTGTGYTGGGGCCATACTCCACAGACTGATTTACTTTAAGGAGAGGAAATACAAGGCAATTAAAGGAAAAAAGCAAGCAGGCAAGGTCTTTCTGCTTTTGTGTTAATGGCTTTAAAGCAAAAATCTCAGCACGTGCAACACCAGAAACCCAGAGAAGGGAGGTAAATGCAGCTGCATTTTAGAGCAGCAAATCTTGTCCAGCGCAAGACCAGAACCAGCTCTTTGCTGACATTGTAGCTTCTCCTTCCTATAGAAGGAAATAATAAAAAAGGGGTTTATGCATAAACACAATAGGTCGAGGCTGCTATTGGCATGGCTGAATTGTGCCTGGATTTTTTTTYTGCAAACCTTTTCCATTAACATTTCTGTCGGGAAAGCTAACTCCTGGGAGATGTAATGAACCATCTGACTTTAATTTGGTTGTAGAACAAGGGGTTACTCTCTGGATGCTGCACAGCCAAGCTCTGAGCTACACCCAGCTCTGTTTCCTTATTCAGAGGATGACGAGTGCTCCGGCACGAGCAGCACGTGGGAAAGCAGCAACCCTCAGCCGTGCTTTGARCAAATTAAAGTGGCTTTGGAACAGTAAGGATTTGCTCTGTGACAAAGATTTGATTCTCCTCATCATCATTGTGTCCCCAGTTCCTCCAGCCCAACTGCTGCACAGACAAGTGCTCACAAAGCTTTTGGCCTTTCTCTTTGTCCCTCCTCTCCAAGCAGGTTCTGCTTTTTTCCCTCCCCAGTTACCACCTTCACTCGGCATCTCCTGCTGCTTTCCTAAATGTTTGCTCAGCCCTGCACAAACCCTGCTGTTTATGTCATTTCAGCTCCTGTCCGAGATAAGACACACGAGATCCTATGGGACATCTTAGGGTTGTTCTGCATTTTTCAGAGGATTTTGCTCTGCCAGAGCACCCTGGTTGAGTCCTTTAGTGCYGCTTGGGATTCCAGTCTGAGAAAGCTCCACAGAGAGGGTGCAACCATAATTGACCCACACCCAGAAAAAAACATTCAGACATGCTGGGAAATCGCAGTGCAACTGCAGAGCCCGATTCCTCTGCTACAAAACCCTGTTTGTCCAGTGGCTTTGGGGCTCCCCGCCTGCTGGCCAGCCACGGCAGAGCTCGGGGCCAGCTGAGACATGTCAGGAAAACGAGGCAAAGAGACGGGGAGGAGCCTCAGCCGGGCTTTGCTGTTTATACCCTGGCTCTGCTTATTAAGCCTTTACAGAGGAAACGCAATGTCTGCCCTTCGCTGCAATTCCAGAGCGTTTTTGAATGTCTCTCATTCCCAACACGTGGCTCAATTAGTCAGCACATGGTAGTTGCCCAACGAGGTATTACCGCTGCTGCTCTTCCAGCATGAAATGGGTCTTAGTAAAGGTTTGGACATTTGGCTCGCACTTTTCTGTGCCCAAACAGATGTGCATAAATTCTGGAATGAAGGAGGACAGGCACTGGCACTGCATCTGCTGTGCAGGGACCTTTGGGGAATCCTTGCCCATGGAATTCTGAACAAAACCAGCTGTTTCCCTGTCCAGAATTCCCAGTACTTTGTCCACAACAGCTTTAGCKTTGCTGTTTGTAAGATGCCAATGCAGAGGCAGCTGGGCACTCACAGTGCTCCCATATTTGCCCTTGAATGTGGAAAAATCCCATCTGCCGTTGTGACACAGACACCTGAGCTCTTTGAGGAAGGAGTCTGGGCTTTCTCAGGCCTCAGTCAGCGATGTGGTGTGTGCTGAAAGGGCAGGTGGGGTGGCTGGCAGCTGCTGGAGGGGGCTGAGCCAGCCAGCAGTGGGGCCTGGCCACAGGGCAGGTGAGTGTGGCTGCCGAGGGTGTGACAGTGGCACGAGGCGCTGGCTTGGTGGCCCCCACCRTAGCCCCAAGGACACCTCTGCAGATGTGTTCGGGGAATGCACAGCTGTTTTAGCCAAGGCACTGCTGCTTTCACTCCTCTGCAGCCAAGAGACCAGGCCTGGCCAAAAAGGTTGCTGCAAAACTCGCTAGAGATCTGACTCCTGGGAACACGCTGTCGCCATATGGTCTCCACATTAATAAYACCAAACAAGTGCTTCATAAACAGTGCTCTAACAACAAATACCAGAGGAATTAATAATAATCTTGCTATTATTTTCTAATGTTCTCGCTTTATTAAGAACATTTATGCTGTCTGAATGAGCTCTTCCGGAAGAACAACATCTGGCACCCAGATGAATACCTGATGAAATCCGTATGATCCCGGGTATCTGATGCATTGATGGCCAGAACGGCAGCGCTCCGTGCCCGCCCGGCTCGCAGTAACAGTGCCTTTCTCTCTCGTTCTAGGTCATAACGTAATGCCCATGCTGTTCTACACTCTGACTGTAGCTTTTTTGATCGGCACACAGGCAGCTCCCAAGGCAGAGGAAAATGCTCCACTGGAGTATCCCGCACAACACTCCCTGCTCAATACCCGGAGCGAGCGACRCCACCTCGCCCAGGCAGCCCCGCAGACATCCCACGGCCACGCCACGTGGAGCACCGGCGGGAGAGAAGCCCTAAACATCACCGTGGACCCCAAACTTTTTAGGAAGCGGCGTTTCCGGTCGCCTCGGGTGATGTTCAGCACGCAGCCCCCGCCGGTGGCCGGGCAGGGGCGGAATTTGGGATTTCTCAGCGGAGCGGAGGCTCTCAACAGGACTGCCAGGAGCAGGAGGAGCGCGCACCCCGTGCTGCACCGCGGCGAGTTCTCGGTGTGCGACAGCGTCAGCATGTGGGTCGGGGACAAAACCACGGCCACCGACATCAAGGGCAAGGAGGTGACGGTGCTGGACGAGGTCAACATCAACAACAACGTCTTCAAGCAGTACTTTTTCGAGACCAAGTGCAGGGACCCCAAGCCGGTGTCGGGCGGGTGCCGCGGCATCGACGCCAAGCACTGGAACTCGTACTGCACCACCACCCACACCTTCGTCAAGGCCCTGACCATGGAGGGCAAGCAGGCGGCCTGGAGGTTCATCCGCATCGACACCGCCTGCGTCTGTGTCCTCAGCAGGAAGGCGGCGCGGCCCTGAGCCCGCCCGGCACCCTCCGACCCCCCTACCTCAGCCTGTAAATTATTTTAAGTTATAAAGGACTGCATGGTATATTTATAGTTTATACAGTACAGAAAGAACCTCATTATTTATTAAACTCTTTTGGAAACCTTGGGTGCTTTGTGAGTTATTTACTGGAAGAGCTCTTTGAAAAATTATTTGGTCTCATTCACCTCTGCAATTCTGAAGTGTTCATGGGGCTGTTGAACAAGTTTTCTGCAAAAAGAAAATATTCTCCACAGAGTTTTCACACATATTCCTCTCTTCCACATGAACATTTACCTCAGAAAACCTGCCAGTTTATTGTAGGTTTATTTTAAATTGAAATTTTTTTGTCTGAAATCGAAGAGACCAAAACAGAATTTTCTGAACCTGCTCCCAGTGTTACCAATTATCCACAAGGGTATTAATCACATATAATTAATCATCTTAGTCCTGACATCGTGGTAGAAACACTAGATCTTCATTGTGGCCAAATAAATTTCTAAGTAAGACCTTTAGTCCATATTTTAAATTTGCCAAACTATTTTCATTGCAAAAATAATCCATTCTGATTTATTCTGGAACATTTGTCTGCACAAGAGTAGAATCTCAAAGTGTATATTTTTGTGTAAAAATGGTATTTTACAGCTCATTACTTCAGAGCTACATTAGAGTGATGGGATTACAAATGTCAATATAGTTATATAAATTGAAAATGTTCACATGTCTTATAATCCAAATTTGATCATTTTCTCAAACCAGTATTCTGCTAATGGGGACCTGCCATAGGAGCAAGTCTTTTCATGCATGACAGAATAAAATAAAAAAAAAAAAATACTAAAAAAAAATCACTGGGGCTGTGTTTTAGCAAGGACCCAAAATAACCTTGTGCTCAAAATTTCTGCGCTTTGGGGACATCGACCTCCAGAAACACCCRGCGGAGCCCCAGGCTCCCAGGCTGGGCGTTTCACACTCCAAAAGCTGCAGATCCTCTCGTTGTTTCCCTTGGAAGAGCAGCTGCTCCCCATTGCAGAAACAGTTTCAAAACAAACACCGTCAAGGTTTTTCAGCCTGGTCCCTTCCAAATCTAGAGGGCACAGGCACCCTCGCCTTCCCTGCTCGCTTCTYGCTTTTATGCACAAAGCAGAGCTGACTTTTGCGTCCTCCACGTAAGCAGCACAGCAGGGCAGCAAATCTCCAGAGAAAAGGTGCTGGGGTGAAACAGTGCCAGTAGAATTAACCCAGCCCGGGCAARAGGTGCTTTCTGAAGGGGCAGTGCCAGTCTGTGTGATGTGGAGGGCACAGGGACCGCTACTGACCATCACTGCTGTGCCAGTTTTGGATACGTTTAATGGTATGGGGCAGCAATGTCCTGATGAGAATGTTTGGCTCTCTCCAGAATGACTATTTGCAATATTTTTGTGAATAATCACTTATCTGAAAGGAGAAGGCAGGTTCCTGACCGTCTTGATCCTCAAAATAACAGCTTGTTCTGGAGCAGAGGGAGGCAGGGAAGGCTCAGGGTGCTTTGGGTGCAATCACAGAGGGAGCAGGGAAGGCTCAGGGTGCTTTGGGTGCAATCACAGAGGGAGCAGGACACCGGAGCAGGGGGAGCCACCTGCCTGTCATCCTCCCAGGAAGGATGGAGGGACATCAGTGACACACAGTGTCCTGAGGCAAAAGGAAATCCATGGAATTGGAGCAGGGCTCCACCTGCTCCTCAGTGCCCTTAAAGCCAATAACAAATTGCTGCAGAGCTGTTTTCCACACCTGACACAAGGGGACTGGAGAAAAATGGAGCTGCTGCTCCTTCGGGACAGCCAGGTTTATGGAGACTGACATTGTTTTACCACTGACACAAGAGAATTGCAATTGAAAGTGTTTTCTGAATGCCTTGGGTAATTCCAAACATGTGTAAGACTTGGCATTTCTTCAAAAGCCCTGAAAGTGATGCCTTTCTTCCTCGGGAAAGCTGGAGAGGGACTTTTGACAAGGGCACTTGGTGACAGTGGGGAAATGGCTTTAAACTGAAGGGAGGTGGATTTAAATGGGATAYTGGGARGGRTTCCTCCCTGTGAGGGTGGGGAGGCCCTGGCACAGGGTGCCYAGAGAAGCTGTGGCTGCCCCTGGATCCCTGGAAGTGTCCAAGGCCAGGGTGGATGGGGCTTGGAGCAGCCTGGAACAGTGAAAAGTGTCCTTGCCATGGGAGGGGTGGTACAAAATGATCCTAAAGGTTTCTTCCAGCCCAAACCAGTCTGGGATTCCATGATAATTAAAGGAATCTTGGGAGCTGCCATCCCTTCCCACACACCGATGACAATTAGAGATCACACCAAGAGGTCACACAGCAGAGCAGAGGATGGAGGGGGAAATCTGTTGGTTGATGTGACTTTAAGGAAAGGAAAAAAACATTTCAAGGTTTTATTGCTCAGCAAAAACTTGCTGGATTCTGAGCAAGAGGTGAGCAAACCCAGCCCACAAYTTCAAGAGAAGGGCTGAGGGACTGAAGTGCCAGGTGACATCACAGCTCAACTCAYGCTGAAACGCTGCCAAAGGCACCCAAATCAGCTTCTTCTGCTTCAGTTTTGCTATGTCCAGGAGTGTCAGGACCATCCATTCTGGGATAAGTTACTGCCATTTGTAGTAGCTGCATTGGAATCTGTAGGATGAGTCAAGGCTGGAGAATGGAGAATGGAGAATGGAGAATGGAGAATGGAGAATGGAGAATGGAGAATGGAGGATGGAGGATGGAGGATGGAGAATGGAGGATGGAGAAAGAATGGAGAATGGAGAACAGACCTGATGCCCTGCTCAGCTTTTTGGAAGGTGGCAAGAACTGTAAAACCTGTGCAGGAGCATCTCTACAGACCAACTCTGTTCAGCATTAACTGCTCACTCACAGCTTTCTGCATTTCCCAACAGTTYCTCTGGTGCCCACAGCTTTCCCTCTGCTTTGGAAGCAAGAGCTACTCACTGTGTGCTGAATTCTCTTCTGACTGTTTAAGAAGTCTACCAGTTTTAATTTTATATCTCATATATTTTATATGATAACCAACTTTCCTAAAGATGGAGGTTTTTTTTTCATTTCTTCTTAAGGCACTACATCTAAATATAGGGATTGAACACAATTTTGGGTAAGAAAAAGGAAAACTACTTCATCTAAAATAAGATCAATATGAGGCACTGCTATGAAGCAATTGGAAGAATTGCACAGTCACTGTTACAAGAATCTGAAACTCTCTTTAGACTCCAAGAAGAGAAAAGCAAGGTCCTTATATTTAACAAGTAAATCAGATCAGTTTGGTTTCACCTTTAGCCAAATGCCACAGGCCTGACACTCACGATCTCACTCCTGCTCAGCAGGTCTGACTCAGGAGTGAAGGTTAAATATCGCCTGGAGGAAAACAGATCAATCTCTGGAGAGATGGATCATAATCAGCTTCCATCCCCCAGCACGGGACTCACCCTCTCATCACTCTTATTAATTTGGTGGGGCTTTTTGTTAAGGGGGGGGTGGCAACAACACGTCTGAAAYGCCAGCGGTTACTCAGTCATTGCTGCTGCTGAGCGGATGCCAAGAGCCCATTCCAACGCCTACACCTGAACCAGGCTGCCCTTCAGCGGGCCGGGGTGATTATTTTCACTTCAGCTGCAACACAGCCAGGAGATGTTGACACTGACAGTGAAGAGATGGTTTACATAACAGTCGTGCTTTCTCCCAGCTCCCTTTCATCCCTTACATGACACCGCTGCTCCGATCTCTAATCCCTTGTTCAAACACGCGATTAAAGAGCAGCCACACCCTTTGCCAGCTCTTCCTTAAAGCAACACCTTGGAGGAGAGCAATTACAACCACTCCGGGAATTCACTTGCAGCGTTTGGAATTACTGTGGGTTGTGTTTTCACTTTTCTCAGTCTGTTTTCCTGAGGAATTCTCTGCTCTGGAGAAGTTGGTGTCTCTGTGCCTATAAAAGTTCTGATGTGGCATGTCTGGCATGATAATAAATCATTGGACCAGGCATGYAATCCTGAATTCCTTGGTCAGTAAAACCGTCAAGGATTGTGCATTGACACTTCAGTATCAACCTCCAACCAAGCTGCACTAGGAAAGGAAGTGAAAAGGAATTAGGAAAATCTAAGGAACACTGAATGTAGCCCAAAGCAGAACAAAATATGGAATAACCACTGTACAGCAGTTTAATGCACAAAGAAAACAGCCCAGCAGAACAGTTGGCACAGGTCTGAAACAAAGAAAATACATGACAGAATTATCCAAATTCCACTCTGGCCAGGAGACAWCATCCATTGGGTTTAGACAGCAGAAGGGAATCCTGACAGGACCAGTAACTCATTAGAAAAATGGATGTTYTTTGGTTTGGTTGGTGTYAAAGAGGATCAGAGGATCAYCYCTKTGYTGTGTGCCCAATTTTACAGCAGATMYYGGGCACTGGYCTCATATTGCCAGATAAAATATTCAGTCCTTATCCTCCCAGAGATAACTATTCCTGTAACAATTTGTTTTACTTCCACAGCCTAGTTAGCACTTCCTCAGTGTCTTTGAGTTCTTCTTGTCCTTCCAGATTTAAAACACCGAATCCTTCCTGGTGGAATCAGAAATTCAGAGCTTTTGGAGGGTTTCCCTAAACTCTGCGAGACATGAAGAGGGACAATGAAGCTGCCAAGTTATACTGTGTACCTCTGCTGTCTGAGTGATGAGGACACTACAGTCTGACAAATAAAACGGCTGGGATAGAGTAGGAGGTTMTTCTGTTGTGTTTCTGATAAACTCTTCTGGAGGACAAATTTTTCTTGCTTTACACCAAAAGAAAAAAAAAACAAACAACTTGAAATTGCTCATGTTTAAATCAGTGGATTTCTGTTTTAAATGGCTTTTTCTTTTGAGGCACTGCTTAGGCACACATGGCTTTTAAATAGAATATTGCCAGCCAGCTCCAGCACAAACCCAGCAGAACTACCCTGCAAAGCAGTGCTCAGCTTCGGTGCCTGCGTGGAGGCTCCTTCTGCCTGGAAAAGGCAAGCCTGTACCGAGTGCACTGACTCACGAGCTGCCTCTTTTTTTATCGTTGTCTCTATTTCCATAATCCAGCGCACACAGCGGTCCCTAACAGGCATTTAGCAAGATCTCGCCC